CAACATTTTGATGGGTACAAGTATCAGCATTGCCCCGATTTTATCAGGTATTATAGTGTTACAAATGCAATAAGATTTGAGTCCAAATATATATTTTTACATATTCTGAATCGTTAGCGCATTGTCCCGATTCTTGCCATTTATCGACTATGATTGAAGTTTTAGTAAAATAAATCAAGTCTAATTTAAATCCATGTGAGAAATCATCAACAAATAGGCTACAAAGATTGTTTTCTAGAGTTTCCTATGAAAAAAAAAAAATTATGTAAGAGATAAAAATGTTACTTGCAAATCTTGCGGATTTATGTATTTCTGATATGATAATTGGTTTAGACTGCCAAGCTACTTTTGCTTTTGGCCGATATATTGGGGTATTACTTGCGCATATCAACATGTTATGAGACGGTTTTGACTCTTTTGTCTTTGAGGCTGAATCGGTGGGTTCCAACTCTATTGCTCGAGCGATCTGGACGAGTGTTATTTGGGATGGACGATTTAATTTATATCTAGCTCTTGGAAACCCAATTTGACTACACGATATAATTGCCCGTGAGTCTAGTTTTCAATCTCTTATGCATTAGTGTGGATGGGGATTTCATTCCTGCACTTTGATTTGTTTATAAAACTCATGTTGGTTTTTATAATGATACTCAGACGATTAAAAAGAAGAGATAAAAATGAATCTACAATTGTTTAGTCTTTTTGGTTTGCTATATATTTTTTTTTTAAATATCCTCCGAAAATAATTTTCACTATGTGAGAACATACAATGGGGAACGACCAATTCCCCCATGAACTTAGTGGTTTCCGATTATTTATACGGGAACTATCAAGTCCAGCCAAAACACACATAAACTAGTTTTATTTTTGAATTTACCACATGAACTATTAAAATGCGGTTAATTCCCACAAATCCGTAAACGGTGTCAGTTTTTCGTTAAGTGATGCTGACGTGGATGACACGTGGTACATAGTTTTGTTCTTTAAAAAAAAAATCCAAAACAATCACTTCAAGAATCGGGGCTATCACATGTGTTGAGAGACATTACTAGTACACCGACATCATACTATTGATCTATAACACGTTTAAAAGTACTTAACATAAATGTTCGGTCATT